ATCAATAACAATTATGTCAGGCTTCCTATGTTCAATATATCGATCCCATTGGACCATGAAATCCCATAATATCTTTACATCATTACCTTCTATCACTCCCTCTGGCTTATGCTCATACCACCTATTAGCTCTCTCCAAATTGTATCTACCCAACAATTCCCAGTGAACATACCTGGCTACATTATCATGCCTCTTCTTATATTCTGACTGTGCTAATTTCTTACATTCACTCGTTATGTGACTAATACTTTCACCTTTTTCTTGACACAATCGACATAATGGTGAAGCAGCAGACTTGTCGATATTATATTTGATGTAATTAGTTATTATTATTATTATTATTATTATTATTATTATTATTATCAAAAATACCAAACAAGGAGAGAGCAAGTTAGAATGAATATATATACATGTAGTTTGAGGGAAAGTCAGATATTATTATTATTATTATTATTATTATAACCCAAAAACAAGAACTAATTAGAGCTAATAATAGAGAAAAACAAAAAAGGAAAGGAGAGGGAAGGCCCTATGAGGAAAAAATAAAATAAAAATAAAACAAAGAAACTATTATTATTATTATTGTGTGTTACTATACATTAGGTTAGTGTTCCTAACCTAGTCAAAAATAGGACATATCATTCTCTATTAGTTTGGAATTTGAAAGTATAACCAATACTTGGACAATAATGTTTGGAGGAGATAGGACAGATGACATTAAAATCAGTGAAACTGTATTCCTCAATATCAGTGAGTATGATAGCAGTGCATGTACATGTACTATTGTACTTGCATTCATATTATATAAATGTTCATATTCAATTTTTAAGCCACACACTGAATAATTTTTCTTATTATAATATAGGCTACAATAAAGATGGTGATGTATCTGCAAGGCCATGCACATTGAGCCAGTATCAGAAAGAAATGGAAGAGAGAAGAAGACCAGTTGAACAAGAGATCAGTTAGAAAGGAGAAAGAGAAAGAATAATGGAAGAGAGACACCAGCAAGAGCTTCAACAATTACACCTTCAAATGGAAGACAGAGATCAACAAGCCAGAGAAAGAGAGAGAGGATTAGAGAGACAACTTCAAGAAATGGAGAGAAAATCACGAGAAAAAGAAAGAGAGCTTCAAGAAATGCAGAGAGAGTCACAAGAAAGAGAGAAACAACTTCAAGGACAATTTCAAGAAAGAGAGAGACAGCAAAAGAGAACTGGACAAACAGGTAGCATAAACCAGTTTGGGGGCTTCATTAAAAATTTATTTTCTTAAATCTGGGGGCACAAAACCATTTTAATAATAAACTAATAACTTTTGAATTCCTTTCCTCTCCTCTTAAGATTTTTGAAAAATCAACTTGTCTTCAAAACCTTCATCTTGCAACTACTTAATGAATTTTACTAAGACTATTTGTTATCTCTCTTTCCCTCTGTCTAATTCTCCTCTTTTTCTCTCATTTTTATTTTCATTTTCATTCTTGAGCTCATCAGTTTTAATTAATTTTATTATTGATACACTTTAGATTTTGAAATGATAACAATTATCATGTTGTTGTTGTTGTTGTTGTTGTTGTTGTGCTCTAGCTTTTTGTTGTTATTGTTTTTTGATTATTCATAGTCTTCCTGTAATTACTGTTATTATTATTATCATTATAATATTTGATCTCATTTTGTTAGATCACTGTATTAATTTATTGTTGCAGTTACGTTGATGATCCAGTAGCCACACCTATCTATGAATATCTAAATCCAAACACCCCTGATTCCTGAACATGGCTATGGCATCCCTTAGCTCCAGTAAGCTATGAAGTATGAATCAATATTGTTTGATAGTTTGTACCATTATATATATAGACTATGAACCTGCTAAAAGATGTGATCATTCTACAGTAATAGTAGGAGACTGTCTTTATATGTGGGGTGGGAAGAAAGACATGAAAGATGACCATGATCCTAAACACCATTGTATTGAATCATTTGTGGAGGTACTTCACCTTCCAACTGGTAGGTGGGAGCAGAAACCTACCACTGGTGATCCTCCACTGGGTATCATGGAATATGTAGCTGTTGCTATTGGGAATGAGATATTCTATTATGGAGGACATTGCTGCTTTGGTTATGCGTGCAAAGATTGTTTTGGGGCCAAATTGGGGGGTGATCAAACTGATTGTAGATCTATCCTATACAGTTTAAATGTTGATACTTTTAAATGGAAGAAAATTGTACCTGAACGTCCATGTAAATTTTTATTCAGGATTATAGATTGTGGTATGATTGCTGTAAAGATTGAGGGAGAAGATTACCTTGTAATACTTCAATCATATGCTATTGACATTTTTTACTTTAGAATTGCTACAGGTAATTTTTAAAAATATATTTTAAATCTCTTGTTTACTGTAGGTCAGTGGATTAAACCAGTAATTACTGGAGGTTTGTTTGCCGAAGCTAGTCACTTCAATTTTATGTCAGTAGATGATACTAGTGCTATTTTGCTTGAAGATGATTATATGAATAAAGAAGCTAATGCTATTTATTGGGCTACCTTTGCTAAGGGATCTGTAGTATGTTATATATTTATGAACATTATAAAAAATGGTTTATTGTTTCAACTTTTAATTACATTTGATTCATTGGTTATCATTGTTAGGTTTGTACATTTCATGGAAATGGAAAAATTCCATATTTAGATTTGTATGACTATCGTCCTAACGTATTGCTGAATAGTCCAAAAGGACTAAAAAAACTTTTGTTTATTTGTGGCAATCAGTGTGAAACAATTGACTACAATAAAACTAATTGGAATTTTCAGATGGTAAATACTTTTATCGTACCATGACTTTTATTTTGCTACACAAAAAAAGTTGAATATAAACTGTATTGCATGATGCATTTAATGTTATATTACGCATTCTTATGACAAATCACAAACTTTTTAGATGTGAAAATTTTCTAATGTAGATATACAATACAAAGTACTTTGTTATACATATTAATAAAGAGGAAAAGCATGTAAATTTATTATTGCTATTATTATTATTATTGTTATTATTATTATTATTATTATTATTAGGTTGATGTTCCTGAATCAGTCAAAAATAGGATTTGTCATTCTCTATCAGTTTGGAATGAAGATACAGCCAATACTTGGATAATAGAGTTTGGAGGACAAATTGGAAATGCTACTTCAGTAATTCTTAGTGATACAGCTTTCCTCAAAATCAGTGAGTATAAACATGAGTTTGAATTGCTCATATGTACACTTACATGTACATGTATGTCATATGTTCAATACAATTTGGACAAAAGCAATTCAAGCCTCACACTGATGATGCATACAAAAATAATTTTTTTTTATGTACAGCATACACTAAACGAGGTGATATTTCTGTGAAGACATACACACTGAATGAGTATCAAGAAGAAATGAAAAATAGAAGATTCAGAATATTACCAGCACCTAGCACAACAAAGAATTTGCTAAGATTTTTCATTCCTAAAGGAGAAGAACAAATAATGGAAGAGAGACACCAGCAAGAGATTCAACAATTACACCTTCAAATGGAAGAGAGAGATCAACAGGCCAGGGAAAGAGAGAGAGAAATGGAGAGACAACTTCAAGAAAATGAGAGGCAGCATAGAGGAGAGTTACAACAATTTCAAGAAAGAGAGAGACAGCTCCAGCAAGAGGTTCAAGAGTTACATACACAAAATGATGACAGGGAGAGACAGTTTCAAGAGAGAGAGCAGCAACTTCAACAACAACTTGAACAAAGTGCACAACAACTTGAAGAGAAAAACCGTCAACTTGAGGAGCAGCAGTCAGCATGGGTAGTGAATGGAGATGAAATAAGAATGACAGAGACAGTCCTTGGTAATGGAGGCTATGGTGAAGTTAGAGTAGCAATATTCCGTGGACTAAGAGTAGCCGCAAAGAGTCTTCATGGAGTAATCCTCTCACCTTATAATAGACGGATATTCTTTAGGGAAATGGAGATTGCTTCCAAAGTTCGTCATCCTAACCTCCTTCAGTTCATAGGAGCCACTCGTGAGGGTAACCCAATCATCC